AGAAGGTGCAGTTCAAGGCTCAGCCACTGAAGTAAAACTGCTGCCAGACACACCCACTGGCCCACAGGTGCTCAGTGTTGCTTTCCTACATTCACAAAGTGCCTTGGAGAAGTGGGGTGTAATATAGCATGGCTGGACAAAAACTTACCATCACTACCAATTGCAATGAACAATTTTTCCTCCCCAAACCTTCTAGGCAGTTTCCCATCTAGTGAAGAACAGAGTAACTTTAAAGGCATTCAGGATCCTGGTACAATGGGGAGTTGACTGAAAATTGCTGGTTTATGACCTCTTGTTTAATGGTTCAGAGTTGGTACAATCTCATTCTTCTGGTCCTTCTTCAACACACACTCAAAGCAACAACAAGCAAAGGTTTTGACTAGCCAACTACTATATTGTCACCACATCAAGATTCCCAAATGATCGAAGAAAACGTGAAATTAGTGAAGATGGCTTTATATCAGTGGAGAACTACAGGATTAGTCCACATCATATTATATGGTAGCCAAAGTCAATGCTTCCTTATGTTGGTTGATGAGTCTTTCAGAAAGAAAACATTTGTGTTCAAAGAAGACTTGATTGCAGTTGTTGTAATGGATCAAGTAACTGAAAGTTACTGTGCTCCATGTAGACCAGGATAAAAACACTTAACATGCCAATGACAACAACTGGAAAAGAGAAAGAAACTTGCCAACTGAAAGGTGTCTGGCAGATAACACAGAAACAAGTTAAGAGGATAAACATAAGCCATAGTGATGTTGTCCGTGGAAATACTACCCAGCAAGTCATACTACTGAACTGCTAACTGGACAAAGCCCATGTTACAATGAAAATTACTCTCAAGGAAAAGGTTCATGAAAATAGGTGACTTTTGGCTGGCTTCAATAGCCAAAGCTGCAGGATATTAAACCTTGAGGAACATAGCTGTTTAAGCAGGGGAGAGAATTAATTCCTTCAGAAATGTTGCCATGTAACTTTCCTCTGCAAACATGCTGGTCCTGACCTGTGTCAGGTCACTGAACAGTCCAAGACTAGGCTGTCTGAACTGAGCAGTGGCCAAGATGCAGCACTGCTTCCATCTGTTGTTCTGGATCCCAAGCAGTGTGTGGCAAAGCTTAAGCAGCTAAAGAAAAGACAAACCACAATTTGCAGTTGGGGAGCAGTCAGTTTCTAACTCTGGAAATAAGCTCTGCAAACTGCCTGCACGGAAACTTGAATTCCACTGCTAAAGAAACACATTACATGTTTCCATCACAGTCATCCTGCTGTCATGTGTAAAACAAAGATTATTTTGGTGGAAATGTGCAAGGAACAACCATTTAATTCATTATGAGATGAAATTCTTAAACTAACATATTATCTAGTTCAGCCTCCTGGGAAAATTTACATTTGACCCCCGGCATCAGCAGCTCATTGGACTCATTTTAGGAGACATGGAATGAAAGAGGTACCACACTTTCACACAAAGTAATCAGTTAGCCTAAGGCAAATTAGTGAGTCAAACCTCAAGACAGCCCTGTGAGTCCCAAGCTCATTTACTTGCCAAAGGAAAGTTTTGGTGATGGAGCAGAATGACAAAGCCCCTAATATATCTCAGATTCATTGCACCCAGGCCGTGAAGTATATATTTCTCTAACAACTTGGAGACAATATCGTGTGTCAGAGCACATGCACTTGTCATTAGCATGAACACTAAGAGGAAATGAACATAAATCCCAGATTCAAATGTGTAGTTTGAACATCCTGGGACAATTAAATTATTGATAATGGTTATCTGTCACCAAGCAATAAATCATAAAGTCCTGGAGTGGCAGAAGAAAAGCTATCTTGCTGCTGACAGATGTGTGGACTGAAAGATGTGTGGGTCTTTAGGGTTCCAGAAATAATTGTATAAAGGTGAAAGATTTCTTCTCTTGCTTTTTTTCTCATCAACTCTAGTATTCCCATACTCAAAACAACACTTGCTCATGACAACTTTTCTTACTTGGACTCTATGTTTTCTGACATTTTAATGAAAATGAGACCAAAGCTGAGAATGAGCAGCCAGTGAAGAGCAGGCCTGGCTCTAGGGCTGCCAGTTGGAGCACAGCACCCTGTGCAGAGCTGGGAGCTGGCTCCTGAAGCTGTGAAAAGTGATGTTTACTCCCAGCTGATGGTAACAGCACTGTAAATAAACTGGGGAAAAAACATATTACAAGACTGTGAAAATAGAGGAACTGTATAGAGAAACAAGGAGGGAGCAGACAATGGCAAATGAACAGGACCAAGGCTGACTCCTCTGTTCAAATCACTATGTTTTGCAGCTAAGATAATTAGTGCATTG